AAAAAAAAAAAAAAAAAAAAAAAATTGGATTCAAATTCAAGCAGAACAACCTTTCCGTCTAGTTAGAAGAGAGAAGCAAGCAACAAAACCATTGATCAAACATAAGTCTCAATTAACCAGTCAAGAAGCAGAATGAAAATGATTAAGAAAAAGCTAACCAAAGTTGCGACCAACAATGCAGTGCCAAGTAGGACCATGAATCTTGTCAAACTCCTTCTTGATATTCTCAGCTATCTCCTTCTCCACACTGTACTTCTCAAATGCCTGCGCTGCCACAAAATACAAATAGTCAGAGATCCAATCTAGTTTTTCATACTCAAGAAATATCGAAGAGTTTATATATATATATATGTATATATATATATATAGAGAGAGAAAGAGAGGTTAATGTACGGTGATGGCGATGTCGATAGCTTCCTTCTGCATATCGTCTTTCATATCAGCACTCTTGATTACAGCTCTCTTCCCCGCCACTTCAGCTTCCGGAAGAGTAGATCTCCTATCATCCGGATTAGTTTGCGCCGATGCGCCTCCTCCGTTCACACTCTTCTTCCTCCTCCCCTCATTCATCTTTTTCTTTTTATTTTGAAATCAGATTTGCTGAAAAAGGAGAAATTCTAAGGAGTGTGGGTGGAAACTCTCTCTAGTCACACACTAGTCTGACACTACTTCAGTAAAATTACTTTTACACACGTAATGCAAACTCTTTCCCTTTTATTTTATTAGTTTTTTCATATTTTCACATATATACATTCAACTTTATTATAAATATTTTTCACTTAGTAATTTTCACTAAAATAAAACTAATGTAATTTTAATAAAAGTCAATAATTTTTGGAATTTATTAAAATTAAACAAAAAATCTATATAAACCATTAAAAATCTTTTGTATGAAACATTTTGTTCTAATATATTTATTTTTAAAAGGAAAATTGGGTTGTATAACCGAAAAACTACTATCCACCAAATAAATTTATCAAGCATTAGGCTATGATATACATAGACTCTCTATGTTGTATAATAATTACTATATTACCTCTCTCTTTCACACATACATCCATGGACAAATTTTTCTTTTTGGCAAATTTGTCTTCTCCTTCTACTTTTAGTTTTGTTTTTAGTTATTGTTTAAAAAAATATTAAACTTTTTTTTACATATTAAAACATAGATTTTTCTCTAAACATAACATGATTTGCAACAAACATCTAATTTTAGATTTTATACAATATTACATATATTCAATTTAAAATATATACTATCTTATCTTATATAATAAAGTAGACTATGTCTCTTCTTAGATTGTCACATTATGACACGTAAGCATCATCGTTCCTTTTGTTTATGATGAGACCGAGTGTTTCTAATGATGAATCCAAATCTCTGTTAAATCCTAAAGCTTCAGCCCAAACATGTTGCTCTAGACAAAGTCGACTTCTCGATTACCCTAACGCTAACGCTTGTGAGTAGCGTTAAGAGGCCACATTAAAATCCACATTTTTTCCCTGTAGTCGGAATTCCCACTAAGCCTCATTTACTTCCCCACCACCGCCTTCTTTAGTTTCTTTGCGGTCTATATCCAATAAGTAGTCAACTATAGATTTTTAAATTGAAGCCAAAACGTTGCAGTAACATTGTAGTCACCGGCCTTCTTCATTTCTGCAAAGCTTGGAGTATGGAGAAAGGTGGAGAACTTATGGGCGTCGACATGCTGCTTTTGGATGATAAGGTATTATCTACGATGATTGTGTTTCCTCATTATGCTTCCTGACTTTCACTCTTAATGATAAGGTTGTTATCTACGCTGATTGTGTTTCCTCATTATCATTAGAAACCTTCCTGACTTTCGCTCTTAGAATAAAATGCAAATCTTCTACTCCAGGTACCTCTCATTCAAGACTCTGTAATATCCATAGGCTGAAAAGCATTAAAATCAATCCTCACATTCCTCAGTATATGTCATCTGTTCCTTGGTATCTCAACTCTCAAAAGCCGCTACGTTATCACATACTTGATTCTCTGCATTGTTTTGCTTGGACATTTACACCGAATAGTCTGTTTATTTCATTGTTTTGACAAAGACTGAAGCATCAAAAAAAAATGGAAGAGTGATCCTAATTACACAAAGTCATGGTATGACAGAGGTTCAAAGATCTACCTAGCTGAAAAATACAAGAAGAGTGCATGTCAAAGTATGTCTTTCTCAGATTTTCAAACCTTGGTTATATTGACATATTACAAAAAAAAAACATTTAGTTTTTTTTTTTAATTTCTGACTTTATCAGTTATTAAGGTTGTGATGAAGTGACGCACAATGCTAAGGCGTGTATGGATACACCTTCAACTCGACTATGATGGCAAGAAGGACAAATGAAATGGGTACGATCATTCAACCTACCATCTTTTTATGAAGCAAAAGAGGATGAGTATCTACCTTTTAACAGCAAATAAAAAGCTCCCAGGCACGCCTCCCTAGGCGCCTCCGCTTTCCTCCATTCCAGATCCGGCGCTCAGTCTACCTCCTCCTGAAGAAGTTCGTTTTCTCCTCTTCCATGGCGTCAATGCTTAAAGCTCCTCCTCTGTCGCGGTAAAGACCCCCACCAGATCCGCCTCCGTGCATAAATCATCCATTATCGTTCAAGTCTCTCATTCTCACTGAGCCGCCAGAGCCGCCAGACCCTCCAGATGCAAACGTCATCCCTGCTCTGATCCCGTTCGTCGATGAATTCCACAACCCCTCTCCCCAAACGGCTTTTCAAGTTGTAGATCTCGAATCTGGTGTCCCAGCTATGGCGTTTGGATCCACGGGTGTTGTGGTTTCTTGTGTGTTTACGTGTAAAGAACTCTCTTCTACCGTTTGTTCATGGCTCCTGCTTACAGGATCTACTTCATCCAACGTTGCCGCTCGCTCTAATAACCTCATCTTCGTCCTTCTCATTGCTACTCTTGGTTTCCTCATTTCTTACTCCACACCGCCTCCTCTAGCTTTCGCACAGACCTCATCTCTGAAGACTCCACCCATGGTGGTGACAAAGAACAGTGTTGGTGGTGGTTCCCCCGTGTCAACGAGTGACACTTTCTTAGCCTACGGGCTTCTCTCTCCTGTGATATACAGGTCCCTATGTGGGAATATCTATGGCTTTCAAGCAGGTCCTTTAACCTTCCTACCGATTCTCTTTGTAAGGTTCTTCATGGTAAACTTAGCTCTCTAATTTCCATGTATGTTGAATGGTTTAGGCAGCTAAGTGTTCTGTTGACATTGATTTTGCGATTCATAACTCTTGCTGGTGGTATACCGATGTGCTTAATGTTTTATGGCTCTACCGATGTGCTTAATGTTTTATGGCTCTACTCTTATGACCTTGAGTAGTATTTATATCACATTGGCGAGATCCTCAGCAGTATGCAGTCCCCTTACGGGCTACATGCCGGTTGTTGATGTTGGTTCTAATCTCCCTTCCACCTTTGTCGCTATGGCTTTGGCAATGATAGGGAATTCTCTCCTCTTGTGGCAGCTTGGATTGAAACGTCTTAAGTTATGTACCCTTCCAACAAATCCGGTGTGTTTGGGCTTTAATTGCCTTCCTTTCTCCTTTAAGGAGTGTTTCTTCCTCTCATTACTATCACTTGTTATTAGTGAAAATGTTACAGGGAGCTTTGTTTTGAAGATGGTTCTGTTCCAAGCAGAATCGAAGATGTTTATCTGTTTATCGTCTCTCGTTTAGATGGTGCCAACTGTCTGACCTCTTTGACCATGGAGGTTCTTATCCCTCCCCTTTATTGTTATGTTCAGGAATGTCAAACTGAAGATGTCTTCTTGTCTGACTGCCCAGTATCGGAAACAACGGTGATTGAGCGTGCAATATCACCTCTATCCTTAAGCTTTTATTTGAGTATATGTTGTTTTAGCTTTCTCTTTTGTTTGTCCAGTGTATTGGACTATGATTTGCTTATTTGGCTCCTTGTAGCCTTGTTGTATCCTCCTCGGATGGATTGGAACTAAGTTAACTTTCAATGAAAGTTTGTTTGATCAAAAAAAAGAGGACGAGTATCTCAAATATCTACATGTCCATATATATCTCTCTAATTGTTTGCATTCATCTCACATACCAGGCTGTGTGCTGCCACAGTCAGAAATGTCTCCGCAAGTGGGATGCCATACGGTGGTGTAAACAAGCTCGAGACTGTTATAGTGGCCGAGTTGAACGCATGCGTCATGACCTCGGCCTTATGATTATATATACACCTTCACAATTTTCATCATAGTCTCGAGTTAATCTCTCACATTAACTCATTGACATGCACACTTATTTTTGTTTGCTGCCATGCATAACTTAGTTTTGTTCATGTTTTCCAAAAAGAGTCTAGACACTTGGTTCACCATAAAGTTTAAGATAGTGTGTGTCATTATTCATTATATTACTTTGTTAATCCTTCAAATATTTAGAAATAACCTATATATTATTAGTTTTTAGCTGACACTTGGTAAGGTCCAAATTATAAATTGGGAAGTTAGTTTAAAATTCAGTGATTGGAAAAAAGCAATCAGCACCTTATACAAACAACTATTATAAGATAATCTCACTCAAGAGTTACTAATTCAACATTTGCTATCCACCTATCAATACAATGTTGAAGTCATTTAGAAAAAGAGGTCGCACAGTCACACTTAATAAATAAACCTTCAAGCAAACAACTATCTTACGAATTTTATGCTTGATTATTTAATTTTTGTACAATTGACGACTGGATTTACACATGGATTGATATAGGGTGTGGTAAGGTCATGTACGTAAGGTTAACTATTAGTAGCAAATCTTAGAAGTCTCCTCCCATCCGTAGTCACGTACTTTCATTAAGGGAAAACAAAAAGACACATGAAGCCAAATTAAAACATTGCAGTATGTTAGTCAAAAAAAAACCCATTGCAGCTACGCTTGGGTCTCTATTTATAATCGAGCTATATATAGATAACGACTTTCCTATATCCTAAACCACTGCATTTTATGGGCAAGAAAAAGTCTGAAAGCAGCGGCAACCAACCAAGCACCTGGAGGTTTGAAAGCAGCGGCAAACAACAAGACTCGAAGCTTGAGCCTTAAGACCTCCACTGCTCGATCAGGAATACTCTTTGGACGTCCAGGTAAATAGATGATCTATGGTGAGAGAGGAATACAGTAACACGTAAACTCACTGAGATTATCACCAAAATACAGGTGATGAATAAACTGGAAAGACGGCCATGGTTAAGAGAGAAATATCTAACATCACGACCCTCCACCTTTTTGACTGCCGACGGAAAGTTAAACTTACAACTCATACTTACTTAGCACATTTGAATGACTCTGTTTATGCTTTCTCCTTTAACAAAATTCTGAGTATGATTACATTAAGAACAAATAAAAACACGCCGCATTTCTGCTTTCTTAGTGCCATAACGGACCCGTTATCACCAGACTAGCAACACACGTATACGCTCAAATTAAAAGACGACAAATAATAAACCCTTAAAACTTAAAACATTGTAACATACAACTGCTAACTCTTCATACCCACCCATTGTGCATCGCTTTTGATGACATGTATATTTTCAACCCATAACCTATACTAATTACGATGCCTAAATTAAAGCTGGCGTTTACTAAAAGTATCTTCAATTCCTCTCTATTTTAAAATTTCTATTAAAAAAATTTTGGATTTTATAGAAGCAAATGAAACATTTTATATTAATAGAGAAAAATATAGTATTCCTCTATTATATAAGAACATACCGAAGCAAATTATCTATATCTCTATTTCTTTCTATAATATAAATTTATAAAATAGAGATATGTTAGAGATGATTTAAAGAAAGAAATTATAGCCATTATTATCCATCTTTAAAGAATGTTTGAATTTTAACCTATAAACTTAGTGTTAAATTTTTTTACCTATACAGCGAACAGAAATGATCTATGTATGGAGTGCAGAGATTATTGTATAAAATCTTTGTGGTTTGTAGTATAATGTTAACATATTATCTGATAAGAATCATAAGATATAAACTATTGGCTTTCATTCAATACCACCAGCACTAAAAAATTACATAATCGAAATACGTATTCAAGCTAGAGTAAATCAAAAGAAAATGAATTTTAGTGAACACTTGTCAGCGGTTTGGGTCATCTTGATTTCCAGATTATTAATGGTTACTTTACATTTATTTATTTTTGGTTAACTTACCGTTTCGTGCACTTTAACTTTTTGATTAAATTATTTTTTATGAAGTGGTATGTAACTAAAGTTTAAAAAAAACTGCTAGGAGTATTATATTTTATTAGTTGAAAATATTAATTTATTTATATAGATTTTAAATAGCATTGGAAAAATTTCCAACAAATAATTTTGTCAATAGAGTTCAACAAAAGCCATAACAATAATTATGAGCTGAAACAAACATATATTCTAAAACATGAATTGCTGTTACAGGAAAAATACTAATTATTCTCCATGATATTATTGAAATTATTTCATAGCATTAAAAACTACCTTTAATTTATTATCATGAAAAAAACTAATTAGTTCAAAATATTTAAACTTGAAATAAATAATTTTTTATTAATTTAAATTTCAGATTTTACTATATCAAAGTGAAAAAGAGAAATATATACCATTATAATTTTCTGAATAATTTTGTATTCTGTACAAAAATAATATGAATGTTACCTTTATTTCTAGTTCAAACAAAAAATGTTAGTTGAAATAACAATTTAATCTCAGAACTCTGTCTATTATTTGTTAGTTTATAGTATTGTTTTAAATTTTGAATAATTTTTAAAAGTGCTTCATAAATTAATATATATGTTCATATAAAATACTATTTTGTTTTATAAAGAGTATCGTTTTGAAATTTTTTACACAGACTAATTTTTTTGGAATGCGTTATATTCTTATTAATTTCACATATTAAACCAATAAAAATCTTAGAAACTAAAATATTTATAAAATTAATACACTTGTAATTAATATTTAGCTCAAAATTGCATTGAAACTTTAAAGTGACATTATTTATGTAACAAAAAATATTAAAATATTAAAATGACATTTATTTAAAATAATTTAAAATAATTTTTATTGTATATTTTCGCCCGTAGGGCGGACCAACCACTAGTATATGTATATAGTATAGTAAGATTTTTTTTTTCAATTAAAACACAATTTTTTTTTGTTTTATTCTATTTAGAAACATAGAATAGAAATATAGTATAATTTTCTTCTCTCCTGTTTTATTCTCTTTTTCTCAATCTATTCTATCTTGTACACGAAAAATAAAATAGTATGTGGATGTAGGTACAATATACCACACACTCGAAAGAGAAAAATGTCTAAATATATGCTAGATATTCACATTTCACTAGGCATTGCTGTTTTTTGTTAATTTTTTTCCACAATGTTTATCTTACAAATTAACAGTTTTTAATAAGCAAAGACGTACAGTATTTTATTTTGATATGGCTATGGCAAAGTGTTTGTGGTATTTAATATTCTATTCATAACTATTTTATCATCCTTTGATTGGAATTTAAGCAAACAATGAAAAACAAGTTTTTTTGAACTTCTGAAAAAGCAAGTTACGTCTACTTGATAATACAAATGCCTACTGGCATGAAGGCAAGTGGTGTTGAACAAAATGTCCTAACCACCAACCTAAGGTTCCTTGACCGTGATTTCACACATGTAATTCTATTTTGAAATACATTTTCACTAATCTCTCGCTGATCCCTATTTCCGTGTACACATACGAATATACGATGCGTATCATTATTTAATCGAATTTGAAGAGACATGGATGGTATTGAAAATGACCTCAAAATCGTATAGATAGTTATGGTTGTGGTTGTGGTTGAAGTTTACTAGCGACTAGAGTGACCTAGTCAAAAATCTCAACAAGAGATACAAAATTGTTTTTCTAACTTGTATAAGATTCAACCTAAAGTTAAATACATTATGGTTGCTACTTGCTAGTAAGTATGATGTTTTCACATCTATTTTTAAAAGAGTAAAAAACACATCAGTTTTCCATATAGACTAATCCTAAAGTTATCCGCTAAACGTTTTGTATAAACTTTGAGAATACGTCATTTATTTTTTTTCTTCCATCAGTTTAATAATTTTTATATACGTAGATATACACAATTGAATTTTTGTTGGTAGAACAATGGAGCACTCTACATTATAATGTGAAGTGTGAACAAGTATAAAATTATATTAAAACTATATAAAAAAAGCCGCCCAAAAGAAAAAAAAAGGGTCGCTTACCCCCTAATTAAGTTGATTCATCATCATCCTCACATCTCACACCTCTCTCTCTCTCTCTCTCTGTCCCTCTCTCCTTTCTCTCCCTTTTGTTTTCTCTTCACAAACTCGTTCTTCTAGAAATGGCAGAGCCAAGTTTCTATATCGGAGTCATAGGTAAAACACCCGCTTCTTCACACGTGCGCTTATTATATCTATACTCTCTACATGTATATATATATATACTCGCGTGTGCACGCATACATGTGTAGGTAAACTATATACCATAGTACTTAGCAATTCCTCTTGTAATTTTTGTTTGACGCAGGAAATGTAATCTCTGTACTCGTCTTCCTCTCACCAGTGTGAGCTCTCTTTCTCACTTCTTTTGAGGAAGAAGTAACAAAACTGATACATATTGTTATAAACTTATAGTTTTCTATTATTGACCGATCGGTCCAATTAAACAAACATTCAGGGAGACGTTTTGGAAAATAGTGAAGAAAAAATCGACGGAGGAGTACAAAAGCTTGCCGTATATTTCCACGTTGTTAGGATCGTCTCTGTGGACATATTACGGCATCGTCACTCCCGGAGAATATCTTGTCTCCACCGTTAATGGCTTTGGTGCTCTTGTTGAAATCATCTATGTCTCTCTTTTTCTCATTTACGCCCCTCGACACCTCAAGGTTCTTTTTTCATTTTATTTTATTAAAATATGATATGATATATACTCTCTCTCTATATGTATGTGCTTCTTGATCTTATATGTTTCTTATATGATAGCTGGTGGAAACCTGCAAGTTTTTGTTTGATCCAATTATTCAGATTTAGATCTGACTATCAGTTTTTTCTACATCACGTTTTTATAAGTCAAGTTGATTAAAATATGTGATCCACTTGTTATAAGATATACTATAATGACTTGTAAAGTAGATTTCCTAATGTATCCCATATACAAAGCGTTTGGTTGATATGATTAAGTTTTTATTTTTTGTTCACAGTTAAATACAGTCGTAGTGGTTGCGTTGTTGAACGTCTTTTTCCCAATAGCAGCAATTGCGGCCACAAGAAGTGCGTTTAAAGATGAGAAAATGCGTTCTCAATCAATGGGTTTCATATGTGCTGGTCTCAATATTATAATGTATGGTTCTCCTCTTTCTGCTATGGTAAGTTCATTCTTTATTTTCACATATCTCTCCCAATCTTTATACTATTATTTTATTATATTGGCATAGCTGTTTTATATTACCCACGTTTTGAAATAGAGAACGTCCCCTTTATATAAACTAGTTCTCAAACTTTTTCTGTATATCAGATATACATTATTCAATCATTCTGGCTTCTTGACATTGTTCATGTCCACTTGGTCCTTTCTGAAACTGCGTAATATTAAGAGAGATTTCTTTTATTGAGTATATCCCAAAAAGCTTAGCCGTCCACAAATCATAATTAAAAACGATCCAACTTGGTCAAAAGACTAAATAATTTGCATAGTTGTTCTTGTAGTTTACTCATTTGTTTTGTCTCTTAGTTAGTGATACTCGAATATTGTTAAAAAATATGATCATTTTGTTTCAGAAATTCAAGAAATAAAGCTAGTGGTTATTTTTGGTGGTAGCTGTCATTTTAGTAACATTCATTGGGAAATAAAGGTTGTTTTAGCTCATATATATATGCAATCATCATGATTCATAAACCAACCACCCAGTGTCATGCTAGGCCATTTGGGGCCTGATGCAAATAGTTTTTAAAAGTAAATTTATAATTTGTGTTGTTCATTATTTTGTAAATTTTTTCTTTTATTTTATGAATAAAAAAAGATAAATACAACATAGATAAATAAATGATTTTGTTACACTGTTAAATAGTTTACCAAACATTTATAAACAATAACTAGTTAAATTGATATTATTTAAATATTAAAATATATTTGTACTGTGATTAAAAAATCTTGAACATGAGTTATTAAAATAGTGGTCTCAAAATATTGGAGGACCTAAGGCTATTGTCTCATTTCATATAAGGAGTCAAGGAGACACGTCCCTGCAACCACTAGTGGTATTTTTAAGCACACGTCTTTGGAAATTTCGCAGTCGGATAACGATTATATAGAACTTGTACATCGTTAGATTTCCACGTTTCAAATTAAATATAAACGTCGCAATTGTCATTAGACATGTACCCCCACACACAGGTCTATTAACATATTTTCCAGCTCATAATGCAAACCATAACATCGTGGGTCCATTATTTATAAAAATCTCAGAGAGAGAGACATAGTATAGATAATATAATAACATATATATGCAGTTGATAGTGTTCTTAAACTTATAATTTTGCAGAAAACAGTAGTGACGACAAAGAGCGTGAAATACATGCCGTTTTGGTTGTCGTTTTTCCTCTTCTTAAACGGCGCGATTTGGGCTGTCTATGCTTCACTCCAGCACGACGTTTTCCTACTGGTAAATAACGTTTTAATTCTACTTGATTACTTTACGGATCAACCCCTAGTCCTACGATCTCCTGCTGCTCCAGTCTCTGTCTGGCTTTGGACTGTCCAAATTGGACATACATAAAGGATGAAACAAGAAAACTCTTAAAATATGATTAAGCTTCTTTTTTTTTTTGAACGAAAATATGATTAATCTTTTTCAACGACCCCATGTCTCATCGATTTTCCAACAATAACCCCAAAATATTCTGTCGTTTTCTTTGACACCCTACTCAAATCTGTTCATGTCATTGTCATGCCATTTCGTAAGTAAACGACAAATCTTCTGGAGAAAAATCTCGATTTATGCATAAGGATTTTGTAAAAAAAATTGTGGACTCCAACACTCCAACATCAACAAATGATTATTATAATTTTGGAATTTTTTTTCAAAACAAGTGTGTGTGGTCATAAAATGAAACAAGTATGTTGTTTGTAAATGCGTCATAAAAAAATATGCTGTTGGGAATTAAATTAACTAATTAAAAATTTTTTTGTTCAAATTAACTAATTAATTTTTGTGGTTAAAATGAGCAGGTGCCAAATGGAGTGGGGTTTCTGTTTGGGACATTGCAACTCATACTTTATGGAATTTACAGAAACTCCAAACCAGCCGGTTTAAGCAACGTTTCAAGTGAGATGTCTGCAGATGAAGAGGAAGGCCTCACATCACGTGCCCCTCTCCTTTCTTAAACCTATTTTCCTCCATTTTATAAAATTTATAGCAAATCATCTTATAGATTTTTAAAAAATTTCTTGGCGAGTGTTCGATTTAAGTTGTATAAATACAGATCTTTATCATTTAATTTCTTTGCCATTATTGGTGTGCGATTTTGTGTCCCTTGTTTTGTTTGTGAAACAAATTAGATCAAGTTAATGTGTCCTTTTTGTCATATATTTCTTGTAATGATTCACTTTATATAGCACCAGTGGGGATGATTGAGAGCCAAAACAAATACAGTTCATTTGTAAGATCATCTCAAATGTAAAAGTTCATTTTTTTTTTCTTTTAAAATGGAGTAACTAACTCCAACCATAATGGAGTTGAATTTATTTTAACCACTCTATTTTTGATGTATTTTTGAAGTGAAAAATAAAGTAATGAATAAAAAATAAAAAGATAATTTTATTTATGGATTATTTAATGTTTACTTTATTAAATATAAAATAGAGTCCAGTTAGAACATTTCTACTTCGAATTCTAATTTGAAGTAAATTATCGAGTTAGATTGAGATACTCTAACGTCTAGTTGAAGCTTATGTTAAACCCATCATATAATAGTTCCAACGTCAAAGTCTTACATTTGTACTTTAAATTGTTTTGCATGCTACAAACTTCTAGGTTCATTTAAATACGAATATTGGATGAGAATTTGCTTGAAACACTTTGACCAAAAATAAGGTGGTGGTGTTACTCAAATCATGTAATTCAATAGAGTTTAAATCTAAAAATAAACCACCTTTATTCGATTGATATTTTTAAATTCTATTTTCCAATCTAGTGTTATTGGATATAGTATTTAAAAGTTTGGTATTATTCCATGAATGATTTAAAATCATTCAAATAATAGTAAATTTTAATTTGATTTAAACTCTATTAAAATACATGATGAATAACACCAAACGTTTAAGATTAATGAGTATTGTTTCGGATTTGTTGTTTAGGGTGTAAAATTGGGTTTATAAATTTTTTAAGATAATTTTTAAACATTTATAAATAATCTAAAACATTAATTTTTTATCAATTATATTTATGAAAATAGTTATAAAATAAAAAAGAAATTTTAAAATTGACATCAATTTTGTGGTAAAATTAGAGTTCCCTCTTAATTCATCTATTTTATTAAATCATAAACATTAGGTTAGACCTAACATTTATTTTGTAAGTTTTTAAATTAAATACATCTTTCTACTTTATAGTTAAACTTACATTAAATCACTAATATTTTTTTTTATACTACTATCCATGTTTCCAAACAATATAATTACCTCTTTAACTACTATCCATGTTTCCAAACAATATACTCATTTCTTTATACAATTATATATGTTCCCAAACAACACTATAACTAATCTTATATCCAAACAATACAAAATATTAGATCTACCTTTTTTAGTAATTTCTCACAACTTTCTTTTAAATGATTTGGATAAATTAAAAAAAAAAAATCAAATAATATACTCCTTCCGTTTCAGTTTAATGTCGTAGTAGAAAAAAAATTGTTTTAAAATAAGTGCCATTTTATAATTTTGATACATAATTTATTAATTTTATACACTTTCTATTTTTATTGAAATATGGTTAGGTGTATAGGTAATTGTGTTTTTATTTTTAAAATATGTAAAATTAAATGTTTTCTTAATATGTGTGCACAAATGTAAAACGGTAAGTAAAATGAAACTGAGAGAGTATAAAACAAGGAAAATAATTTTATTTTACATGTTTAAATGTTACATATTAATTATCCATCGGTTCAATCGGTCAGTTCGGGTTTTAGTGATTTTTAAATAGAAATTTTTAAAAATCAGAATTGAATTATCGAATCACTGGTTTAACCGTGGTTCCGGTTGAATTTAAAAATACTGATTAAATGTAAAAATATTTTAAATACATAAATTATTTTAAATTACCAAAATATGCATTAAATTATTTATGTAATTTTTCATCATAAAATACTCTGCGCTTGTAAAATTGAGACCAAAGTTAAGTTTGAATTTGATATGACCTATTAAATAAAGGATAAAGCTAAAAATTATATAAATTTATATATTATTTTTAAAATGGATAATTATTAATATCATAAATAATTAAATTCTCAACTTATTTTTTAAACACAAACAGTTAAGTTCAAATTTGATTTTGCACCTAAAACAGATGTACAAAATTAATCTTTTCACTACATAGTTATATCCACGTAATATACTACTTGCCGCTATTAATAAAAAAACAATTTTAATATTGTTTTTTAAAAATAAAATCAAATTGAACAAACTCAAAATTATATAAAATTAAATTATAGATACATTTAAAAAAAAAAAGAAAAATCCGCACAAATTATATAAGGGCTTATTTGTAGAATAGCTATATAAATATATCCGAAACTAAAATCCGCGGACGGGTGTTGATCTGGTTTATGGTAAAAGAGATGAAAAGAGAAGTGCGTAGTACTCTTAAACATTAAAAAAAAAGTACATGAACTATTATTGTTAACAGAACAAATTACAACAAATGCCTTGAAAATTGAAGCACATGGCCCTTTTTTTCTCAATCCATAACAAGGCACCCTTGTAATCGTCCAGAAGAAAACAGAACCATTAAGAATAGTGAGACTTCAACACTAGTTTTCGAGATACAAACAGTACGAGAAAAGCTTATCAGAAGCGCCTAATCTCCTTGGGTGGTTTGAAATTGACAGGGTGAGTTTCTGGAGTTGCATTCTCATCTTCTTTCCACATTTTTATCGTCTTATCAGCCTCGCATGTTACCAATCGCGAACCTGTCTGATCATAACACGCTGCGTATATACCCGCTTCACTCTCCAGTGAACCTGCCATATTCCCAACATAACATTAGTCCATAGCTTTTGCTTTCGAGACCTCTTAATCATACACTTCCAACACTTTGGGATCAAACACTCAAACGTGGTAATGTTTTATGGTAATGAGACTCCTACAATCTGCACCTTACAAGTAAATCAAGAGCAAAAGAACAGGAAACAAGTACGTACCAGGTTGTACAATAGTTTCTGACTGTTGGAAACTGTGACCACTCTTCCAGTCCCAGAACCATATGCTGCCATTATCACCTTAAATCGTACATAAAGATAGGACCAATTTCAGTTAAAAATTGATAATGAAGGCAAGGTGCTGGAAAAAAAACAACCACAAACAAAAGAAGGATTGCGAAATGAATTTATTACCTCCAGTGACCATTACACCATCCTCGTTCACAGCCATTGCGTTAATTATGGTTTTCTGCTGCGAACTGTTCCATCAAGAAAGACAAGACATAATAAAAACAATAGATGTTTAATTTCTAGTGAAAACTCTTGCTTCAAAAGCACTAGAGATAGGTTATAAATGATATCTAGCAAAGCCTGACTTACAGCATGTTGTGGCAAAACTCTCCTTTTGGAAGGCTAAATTTTTTAGTGTTGTCAGCTGATGCAGAAGCAAATGCATTCCTTAAAAAAAAAAAAAAACATTAGAGATATTATTAGGAAAATGATCAGTTTTATCGTCTTGATAAAGTGGATGCAGCGCACTAAACATACTCTTTAGGATGAAGGGTCATTGCTCGGACAGATTTCTTATGATGTGTTAGAGTCGTCATTGTTTTGCCTGCATTTAATAATTATCCAATAAGCAGGGATCCCCCCAAAAAATGATTTTTAAGTCCAAACAATGGTTAGAATGATATGACATTACCATATCGAAGGTCCCAGAATTTAATAGTCGTGTCATGAGATCCAGTTACAACTTGTGGGTCCTGCAACATCGCACACATCAAAAGTGAGTCCCAGATGCTTACAAGAGAGATTCTGAAAAAAAAAACAACAACTCCACATGATAAGAAACGTACTGTTGGACGAGTGAAAACAGAACAAACGGTGTTATCATGTCCTGTGAGTGCAAAAATCTGCATCTTGGTGCGAATATCCCACACCTGCAAAGAAGCAAACATGGACTCAGCGAAGCTCAAGCATTAATACTCAAAAGAATAGAAATGTACATATGCTAACGAACAACCAGTGACTATCTTACCCTGCAGACAGAGTCTCGCCCTCCGGTTAGTAAAACGTCCAAAGTCGGGTGAAGAGCTAAGCAATAGACTCCACTCAAGTGACCATGATAAGACCGTATAACCTATCAAAGCCAAATTCTAAGAGCGTTAGATAATGAGAAGTTCAGATAAGGAAGGTAATAGAGTTGTAATAACCTTATTCTGCTCAAGGTCCCAGCATTTGACTTGCTTGTCATCACCAGCAGAGAACATGTATGTATGTCGATTGCTTACAGCAAGGCCTGCAACAAAATTGAAGGAAAAAGAAGAAGAATATCAGAACAGCGATCACAGAGATACTTACCAAATCAATTGGAAGAGATTTAAGAGGCTAACCTCGTACTTGCTCGATGTGACCAGTAAGTGTTAGCTTCAGAACTCCAGTTGCCACATCCCATATCTAGTAAACATAATAAAAAGCAAGCAATTCAGCAAACGTATTACATCAGGAATGCTTCTACAAGCGCTAAAGTTTATGGGGTTTTTTTGGGAAACACAAAATGTGCAACTTAAGTTCCAGTAACAAATGGAAGTCTTGTACCATTAAGTGAGTACAAACAAGAAAACAAAATCGGATATATACAATTCATACTAAAGAAGCAGTCATCTCTATTACCTTGATGGTACGATCAGCTGAACCAGTACAAAACCATTCATTACTGGGGTCAAAGGCGACAGATCTGACCCAACCCAAGTGCCCCTGAATGACCTGTGGAAAGAATAATTAAGCGCAAGTCAAGAAACTGCTCAAGTAAACAAAAGGCCAGAATCAGTGTGATCTTACCCTGTAATTCTTCCATGGTGCATGCCACTCTGGGCGAGGCCATCTACTCGGAATTCTCTCCATTAATGCAGAAGTTGAAAAGTTTCTGTAGTTCGCAGGGAGACACAACAAAAAAGACAAAGAATGAGAAAATGCCGTATAGGTACAAGCAATCAATATAAGATCAAGAAGAAAAAGATACCTTTCATACGAGGATACACTTGCAGGAATAATGGTGGTGCTTTTGCCTGAGGTACCAATGCTGTTCCTTCAATTCCAAGAACCCAAATATTTTAGTTCAACATCCTTGCCATTAAGTTATTAGCATCTATATCAACGAAAAAAAACGGCAAAAGGTTAATACTTACAAGCCCTTTGGCTGTAAAGTTGGACCAACAACAAGAGCATTCTCTGTCACACCCTTTCCGGTACTCTTGGAACCTTTAGGACCTGCAGAACTCATCGAGCAATGTTTAATCAAATAAAAGAGAATAAACTATTTTTAGTTCATCTTTCCATCAGTATAAGCAAAATAGGTGGATGATATGAACACAATACCTGGGAGAGCAAGAGCACTTGAGGTTCCAGTGTGCTCATTGCTACGGTCAGGCTGACGTGGAGGCTGACTCACAGTCACAGGCTCCACACCTCCAAAAGCAACTTTCATCTGCACAAGAAAACATCTGAGAGTCAATATTTATATACACACAACTCACAGCTGGGACTCGGGTATCAGTGAAAAACACGCAAATCAAAGGCTTAAGTATGATCAATTAGCATTTAACTCTCAGTTTAATCAGTTGAAGACAGAGACTTTATGAAAATCAAACGTGTTGAAATTAGTTTGCATAAACATCATCAAGAAACTTAAAGGTCGAAGCTTTAAACAAAAGGGAACAGGTATTTATAATTACCTTATGGCTGAGACGAATCTTCTTCCTGCAACAAAGACGAATTTAATTTAAAAAACAAAATTGAGGATTGGAGAAGAGAAAATTGGGGATCGGAGACTAACGCTTCGGGATCAGGAGGAGGGAATTGGGAATGGACGGGGGAGAAGAGATCAAGAGCTCTTTTTAGGGATTTGATACTCAGCTTTTTCAGTGACTGTGGTTCTATTGATTCGGCCTCCGTCGTCGTCGTACCCGGCATCGTTACTTTCAGTTAGGGTTTTGCAGAGAGAAAAAAAGAGAGAAACTGAAGTTGCTTGCTATAGTTTTTGTCTTTAGTAGAATAGTTTTTTTATTTTATATCAACGAGTAGAATAGATAAGTGTTGAGCTCTTTTATTTTATTGTATTTAGACATCTCCCCCTCCAATTTCACGATTTGTTGCGCCGGGAACTATAAGTCTATAATAAAATAAATTAACATATTTATTGGAAATTTGGAGAAGAATTATAAAATAAAACCTTTTTTGGCTCCAGTCCTATATTTGAGAAAATGATCTTTAGGATTGTTAATTACAAACTATTTAAACTAATTTTAATTAAAAAGACAAATAGATAAATAAATAATATTATATCTTTTCTGTTTTGTAACATCAACTTTTTCTAAGATTTTTAAAAATATATGCAGTGTTTTTTTAAATTTTTGTTCATTGAAATTAATGAATATCCTTTGAGATTTGTGCTATGTATATTAGAATGATTAGGAGTTAATTTATGATATTTATGACTTATATTATCAATTTAATCAAGAAGTATGTCATTTCATGCCCCAAATATGAGATTGAAATGCATCAATGAATATTGCAAGTATTCTGCATTTTTAGTCAATTAAAACTAATGATAAAATTATTTTATCAATATAAATTAATGTTAGGTCTTTGATTAGTGTAGAAATCTATGTTACATGGAAACAAAAACATATACGCGGAAGTGAAATCGTATGGAAACATAGAAGCGGGATTTAAAAAAAAAAACTAGGAAGCGGAAACGTGTTGGAAGCGTATATTTATATATGCATGTATATATATACACATATTAAAATATAAAAAATTACAAATATGACTAGAAATTATTTGATTCAGATTAAAAATAAAACATTTATTCATTTATAATAATTTTAAATGATTTTTTAAAACCGTGAAAATATACATAAATTAAGTTTATAAGATATTATTATACTAATTATTTTTTAATATTTCGTAGATAATTAACACAAACTATTTGAATATATACAATATATCTCTAATAAATCCTCAATGTATAAAGATAATTTATAATATTAGTTTTAATATTTGTATATTTTTATTCTCTATTTCACTATTATATAAATACAAAAATAATGTTTCTTATATTTTTATTTACTTATGACATTTTATCTTTCAAAAGCGAAGCGTGATTCTAAAACGGAAACGTAAACTTTCAAGGTGTTTTAAAAGAAGTGTTTTTGGAAGTGCATTGGAATCGAGATTCCGAGAGATTCCACAAGCTTCTGTTTCCGATTCTGGTTCCGAAGCGGGAATCGGACGTATGACGAAGCTTTCATGCAACCTAGGTAGAAATTGTTAAAGTAAGCTTGATAGCTTGAGAAATAAGCAACATAATCCTACTGAGTTATGGTTCATGAAAGGATTAGAAAATATTGAAATATGTGAAGTTCTTAGAGATTAGGAGATATCTATTCACTATATAAGGAGATACCAAGTTGTGGTATAACTTATGAGTTTTGTGATTGAGAGAGCCTAAGGTTTTGAGTGATTTTCCTTAAGTGATTAATAAGAGTTTTGTGTACTTAATATTGTGTTCTTGAGACTGTGATTCTAAGTCTTGTGTTCTTGAGACTGTGATTCTATATTTCGTATCATAATTGTGCGTTCATACCCGAGAGAGATAAACAAACGACACCACCATGACAGACATAAAATACGAGACCGAGTCTCATACCAAAGACGTCGGACCATCCTCCATCAATTTCCCATTGCTGAACTCCACCAATTACACTGTTCGGGCTATGAGAATGAAGACCGCTCTTAAGGTAAATAAAGTATGGGAAGACATTGATCCCGGGAACAAAGCTGAAGAAAAAAAAAACAAATCGGCAATCGCTCTCTTGGTTCAATACATACCGGAAGCCTTAACACTTCAAGTCGGTGATCATACAACTAAAGAAATTTGGGATGCGACTAAAGCTAGACACGCCGGGGAGTTTCAATAGCTCGGCAATCATCTATTTACCAAAACAATAAATTCATGGGCGGACAGTCTAGCACGTAGTGCCAGAAAACAATCGCCCTTCGTTGTTCACATGGATATAGAGCTACCGGTGTTGTTCGCAGAGTCAATATGAGTCTGTGTTTTTTGATGTAAAAAAAAAGTTGTAGAAGACATTGGATAGAAATGTTGACAAAGGACACATTAAAAAACCCAAAATTTAAATTAACAAATTAAAAAAACACACACACAATCCCCAATTCACAGAAACACAAAAAGAATGAAGATTTGTTTGTAGCAGTAGAATAAAAGATCACATATAGCAGTCTCTCTCCCAAATAAAATTTATCAAACATGCATCATGCATTAAATAAATCGACTGTTTCATGTTGATCAAAAAAGAACCACTTCAGTGTAATCATTTGGTTAAAACAACCTTGATATTACAATTTACACTTGAGTATTTTTCCTAATGTCTCCTCAGTATCCAGTGCTAGCAATTATACTCATTTGACTATAATTATTTGGTTAAATCACTATAACTAAATGCAAGTAGGATGACACATGAGGCAGCCTTTAAATTATTTGGTTAAATCATTTGGTTTGCCACATATTCGTAAATGGTGTTGCAATATGGCAGAGATTTTCGGGAGCAGTCCCATAAATAACATTGTCTTAACTTCTTACGAGCGCGTCTAAGAAAGTCTCCAATAGTTAGAACATCTATTATGAACTATCTGTGAAAATATGGAATTAAATGAAATTATATGAGATACATAACTAGTTTATAATTATCCAAATTGAACCCAAGAGAGTGTGGTGAAATAGAAAAGAAAGACATGAAATCAATTATGAGATACAAACTGAAATTAGTTAAAAGATTATAACCATAAATAATTATTGAGCCTAAAAGTGAAATCAAAATCAACCAAAAAATCAAACCGAGCTATAAAGAAGAAGGATTGTCGAGAGAATTTGGAAGAGATTCTTGATCATAGACTTGTTGGTCAAAATAAAAAAAAAGGAAAATATGACATCCGAGTCTAATATCTGAACAATCCTTGTACAGTAAATTATTGTGAATCCAAAGAGTAATGATCCAACTTGAAAGGAGTTAAGTGATTATAATTAGGAAATGTTTTGGATCAACATGTAAACTTGAATTTAACAAGCAAATCATCAACTCGACCCAATTAAAATAATAGTAGAAAACTCACAAGAAATTATCAAGCGTTAAGTTATTAACTAAAAGTAAAAATCATATATGTATCCATCCTTCCCCACTTGTTTTCCGCTATTTGATTTGCATTTTATAGTCAGTTTACCTTCATATCATACACAAGCCAACATGATTACCTCATGTATTCCTTCCAAACATGCTTTTTCTGTAAGCCCACTATACAATCCCTCATCATCCCAACCCTCATAACATAGCAAAGATGCAGCAACTGTATGAGTTTTCAAACGTTCGAGAGCTTGCTCTAGAGTCTCATACTTATAAACTTCTTTGATCTGGAATGTCAATTCACCAGATTTAATCTTCCATTTAATCGCGCATTTAAACTTACCAGCCATCTCATACTTGTAAGCTAGTGGGATGCCGCTCGTTGACTCTTTTGCAAACTTCAGAGCTGTGTAAAAATCACATTCGTAACAGTAGTGACCTTTCTTCCGTATTGCAAAATCTGCTGGATCAGCATATCGGAAAATAAAAATTTGGCTCAGAGGCTTATACGTCTCCAACTGCCCATGCAACACAGCCGAAGAACTTATCAAGTCGCATAAGGCATAAAAACAACACATATAGTGATCACCCTTGTTTCTAATGCCACCAGCAACCTTCGTCATGAATTTTATGGTTTCTTCATCGGATAAGAGTGTCTCAGGAAGTGGAGGTGTCCGTCAGTACATGTGCATGTAACCCATAGAATCAGAAAGACACAGCTCACCTACCGGTTCTGTATCAAAGACATTAGTCAATCTCTCATCGCTGATAACTCATATTCCTTTGCCTCTGTAGGAAGGATTATCGTTGATATATTAGTCTTCAAAAGCTCTTTCATGTTGTCTGGTATCTTAGCTCTTATGATAGACCATGACTGGCGTTGCAATATGGCAGAGATCTTCGGGTGCAGTCTCATAAATAACATTACCTTAAGAAAGCGTCTAAGAAAAACTCTAGTAATTAGATCTTCTACCATTAAATATCTGTTAAAAATGGAATTAAATGAAACTACAGATGATACATAAGTAAAATATAATTATCCAAATTGAACCTAAGAGAGTGTTGCGAAATCAAAAAGCAAGACATAAAATCGATTATGAGATACAAACTGAAATTAGTTAAGAGATTATAACCATAAACAATTATTGATCTTAAAAGTGATATCAAAATCAACCAAAAAATCAAATCGAGCTTCAAAGAAGAAGTATTGTCGAGAAAATTTGGAAGAAATTCTAAATCATAGATTTGTTGGTCAAAATCAAAAAGAAAGACATGAAACCGATTCTAATATCTAAACAATCCTTGTACAATAAATGATTGTGAATCCAAAGGGTAATAATCCAATTTGAAATTAGTTAAGTGATTATAATCAGAAAATGCTTGGGATCAACATGTAAACTTGAATTCAACAAGAAAATCATCAACTAGGCCAGTTAAAATAACAGTAGAAAACTCAGAAGAAAATATCAAGCATCGAGATATTAACTGAAAGTAAAAATCAAGACATGAAAAACACTTCTTAAATCCAAACCAACCTTGTAAGATAAACGACTATGAAGCTGAACAGTGATGATCCAACCCATAATTAGTTAAGTAACTATAATCAGAAAAATTTATCGCTCTAAGGTGAACAAATCAATAGTAAAAACATCAAATCAAGCCATTAAGAAGAAGGATTGCCTAGTAAACTCAAAAGAAATGTCTGATGGTTGGAGGTCAAATATTCATTAATGGAAACGTCCAAATAGCATATGTTTACCTGCAATTTTACTATATCGGCCCAATTTAAATTTCATGTTCCAATTTATTAGGCATTGGTTGATGGATTTTTATTTGTCAACATTTAATAGTTGATTTATGCAATGCATGATGCATGTAGGATTAATTTGATTACATAGAGTGTGACTGTAAATAAATATGCAAATGTCTGTATGCGCCAAGCGTGACTATAGTACACATGCAATAAATTAACTATGGGAAAACAAAAAAAAAAAGACAAAAAGAAAGTTACAAACGCAAGGGGATCGTAAATGAGTCACCTTTTATGTCCCCTCACAGTGAGTGAATTGGCCTATATTACCCCTACGATGTTCCTAAATTACCAAAATGTCTCTATAACATTTCCTCCCATTTGTTGTGCTTCAGGTTTTCGTATAAGAGAAAATTCTTCATGATACACTAGTCCCAGCTCCCAAGACAAAAAATTGAGGAGATTCTCTTTACTCAGTGCCTTTCTCTCTGTGCCGTTTCTAGTGCTCCAAAACTAGCTTTCTCTCCTCCTACCTTCGACAATGGTGAGCTACATCAGATTTTGTCACGATTTCATTTTTTCTTTGTCTTCGTCATCTTTGGTTATGTATCAAGGAAATTAGCCATTCTCTCATCACTGATAACCCCATATTCTTTTGCCTATGCAGGGAGAATTTTCGCTGATATATTAGTATACAAAAGCTCTTTCATGTTGTTTGGTATCTTAGATCTTATGATAGATTTCGCCTCTTTTAGCATAAGAGTATAACTGTTACGAGGAGGTACCACATACGGGAAGCCCACATCACCAGAGAAGACCGGATCCTCTATTTCTTCTTGTGAGAATCCTTTATTTTCTTTCTTCTGTTTCGTATGCTGTCTCGGTTTCTGATTCCAATTACGTTTCTTCGATCCACCTACGGTGGGTTGTATCCTTGTCGGAACACATACACCTAAACAAGGTTAGGAAACAACATACTAAATGTCAGAATGTATAAGAGATTAGAGTTATCAAAGTTTAAATTTAAGCTTCTAACCCATCATAATACCAGCAGAATCGCCTCCCTTGTTGTCATCACTCTTGCCATCCTTGATCAAAAGCTTTTCATCTTCTTTCTGCATCAGCGAGAGCTTAACATTCTCATTGAAAGCAGTCAGCAGTTTTTCTCTAAAGTAAGTATATGATCCGCTGATTTTTTTCAGCTTAGAGCAAGTTCTGCATCTCGAACGAGATGATCAATTACAAAAAAATTAACAATGATTCTATAACAATTAAAGACTTGCAAAACTAAATAGAGATCCGATGGAACTGCAAGCAGAATCACAATTTAGCAACACTATTATACACACCTCTTAACAACATGGATAAAACTTAGAGATGAAAACGAGATAAGCTATCGAAGTACTGTCAATTCGAGATAGGGTTTCGGTGATGCTTGTTCTTTCATCAGTGTCTCTGGAAAACATAATCAAAAATCATTGAACAGTGCGATCTCAGAAACTATCGGAGAGGAATCCTCAAATCAATGATGCAAAACGAAAGCAAACCTCAAGCAGCAAACTTCAGAATCGAGAAATCGCCGAAAGAAACAGAATCTTGAGGTTGATGCGAGCAAAAAAAGAGTCTTCGAAGCTGATCCAGCCATCGATTGAATCTGATATGTGCTCTTTGTTGTCAGAAACTCTATCGTCTACGTTTATAGAGCTCACGAGCATAAATATAATTCGTCTTTCTTTTTCTTGCGTTCTCACTTTTATTTCTTCCTTGTGTGATAAATAATACCCTTTAAATTTTACATAAAGAGATATCCTTTTATCACAATTTTTTTATTGGATTTTAATAACTAATCCCAATAAAATACAATAATTTCTGGCCCAGCACAAACCCTGACCCAAACTCAAACAATATTGTGACCAAACAATATAAAACACTGAGGGTGATTGGAATGAGTTGTAACTTTATATTTTCTACTGTAAGATTTAAACTGTAGATTTAGAGTGTGATTGGTAGTTGTTGTAGGTGCTCTCTACAGCTCCATTTATTTATACAACACCAAATTCAAAGCAATCAAACTTTTGTTTTTTTTAAATCACACCTCTTTAAATAATCTACAGCTATATATGTGCTTTGTAGAACCAAAAATTCACAGCAATTTTTTAAAGCTTTCTATATATTTTTACAGCAATAAAATCTAGAACCACAACTAAAAATCTACAGATTATTTTCTACAGCAGAAAATTTAAAGTTTACAGCTATTACCAATCGAACCCTTATTAGCTGTATATTTTTTTGCTGTAATTTTGTATAACACTTATTGTTTGCTCTATAAATAAAGCTTTCTACTGCCAATTTTTAAATTTCTAGAGATATTTGGGCTGTAAGCTTTTTTAAAGAAAAGAAAGCATGATTGGTTGATATATATGTCTTTGGACTAAATTTTAGCTGTCCAGAACATCTACGGCCACAAACAATCATCCCACTGTCATAGCCTTTTAATAAAATTTTATTTGTATTCTTTTCAATTATTTGATAAATATTTGAGTAAATCATTCACTTAATTTATAAAATAAATTCAGAAGTAAATAGTTTTTTTGCAGGTTTAGATAATAAAACATAATATCATTTAATATGAAATTAATTTAATTAATAGATTATCTTTTTTTTTGATAAAAAAATTTAATAGATTAACTAATTTATATTTTCATAAGTAAAATTACATTCATTGAAAACTTTATAAAGTTTCATATTATACTATGTTTCTTAGTTTTTTTTTTAATTCTTAAAAACATATCTCTATAATAGCTATTTTCCTGAAACTCTCTGAATCTAGTTATCGTCATCAGACATGAAAGTTGGTCTTCTTCTCAGAGACTCCAGCACATCAGCCGATGGTCGACCACTCTGTTTACCTCCAAGGCTTGACCTCAGCTTCGGAACGCTCATTGCGCTCAGAGGAGGCGTTGCAGCTCCACCGTTCACTTCTCTCAGTACCGACCTTGCCGCTTTAGCCGCCATTGCATCAGCAGCCGCAGACAAAACTCTCGATTCCAATCCCGAATCTCTAACATTCTCCTCGCTTCCTGCTGCTGCTGCTGCTGCTGTTGTTGTTTGTTGCTCTGGCTCGCGGCTTCTATGACTTGTCCCGCAACCAACACCTTGGTTAGCCATGGACCTTGCCTTTGCAGCCTCGTGCTTCTGCATATCGTAAACGAGCTCTTTCTGAAGCTGTTTATCAGCGACGAGCATTTCTTCTATCTCGTTCTTGTAGTCTTTCAGGAGTACACGGAGGCAGTCCATGAGCGAACCTGTGAGAGGACTGTTCTTGCTCTCCAATAGCCTCTTGAGCTCAATGAAGATTGGAATCGTGTTCTGAATCAACCCTTTTCTAACAGCTTGCGTTATGGCTCTTCCTTTTGCAGCTGCCGCGTTGGAGTCTCCACCTTCTTCTTCCATCTCCGCTGTCTCAGACGAAGATCCTCTGGAAACTGATAAACGGATCTCTTTGCACGCCAAGATCTGAAACGCATCCTACACCGCGAGAACAAAACTGTAAGAGAACTCATCGATCGCAACAGGAAAGAAGGGCCTAACAACTTCCAGCTAGATTGGACTTTACCTGTAGAACTGACTGACCAGTAACATCTTCTATGTTGAGCATTCCATCAGAAGCAGCTGCAAGGACCTCTGCACATAACTTTGCAAACGTGGCCAGAAGATGTTCTGGAGCCATTTGTTTAAGCAGAGTAACGTAGATCTGCATTCTTTTAGACCTAGCTCTTTCATCATTTCCTCTGTAGAACAATTGCAACCAATGAAAACCTATATAACAGTAATTATGCTATGTATAAGTATAGCACGAATACCTGATAGAAA